AGCTGCTCGCAGGCACGCTCAACAGCGGCCTTGGATGGTTTGCCGGTCTCAGGGTCCATGCCACAGTGCGGGTCTCCCATATAGCTCGCCAGTTCTGTGTGGTTTGGACTGCAGACGTCAACTACAGGGAGCGTGTTGGTGCAGTCGAGAAGCTCGTCGGGTGTACAGCGGTCAGGCACGGGCTCCCAGATGAAGTAGGGCCGCGCGAGAATGCCCGCCGTAGCCGATGCATCCGGGCCCAGAGCCGTGATGGCTTTGCGGCGCCTCGCCTTAATGTCTTCCACAAGGTCGCGACAACGCGAGGCAGAACTGAGAATGTGAAATGCGCGAGCCGTCAGAAGCGAGGGCGGCAGATCTTCGGCTGTCAGCCGCTTTTTGGGCGTCATGTAGCGAAACGCTCGGCGCTCAGCGGCGTCGTAGCCGTTCCAGCCCCGCGTGGTCAAGCGATCTGGGTCGGACCGCATGACGACGGCTGTCTCCCAGCTGTCGATGAGGTCAGCCATCGCTTTGGGGAAGTCTGAACCCTTGTCAACAACCCATCCGACGGTCCGTGACAGATCCGGGGCGGGGGAGAACAGACGAGCGCCCAGCGCAGCATAGGCGCCGCCGCCACCAAGAATGTCGCGCACTGGCGGCTTTGGGGGCAAGTACTCGATCTCGTCTGCAATAGTCAGTAATTTCGCCGTCTTTTCTGACAATGCTTGTGTAGCCGTGTTCTCGCTTAACGATTTAGTCTCATGTCATCCGCTGTACGCACCGATGATAAACATTCCCATCGTCACAAAGTCTGCCAAGACGCTTGGTGACTCCTCAGACTCATCTTCCCATTGAGAATCCGCCGGACTGTCAGTGTCAGCTTCTATGGATCCCATGTCGACCGTTTTGCTGCCGTCAAGGCCAGTCGGACCGTCCTTGGCCTGGCCGTTGAGTCCAACGCTTCGGAGAGGTTGCTCCAGACCGGAAAGGGCCATTAGAGGAGAGCAGCACGACCCAAACGGTAGCTTGCGCGAGTCATGCAGCAGGGCAGGTCTGCGGGTACGGCAGCGTTCCAGAAATGAGACTTCGGTCTTCCTGTTTGTGTATCTTGCAAAGTTTCGCTCTAGGTTTCAACGTTGACGACTGATTTCGTGTCGTCTAGCCTTATCGATATTCCGCTTTGGCAATGGAGCCCAGGAATGCGCTAATGTGAACACAGCAGCTAATTATTGCACACCGTTGGGCTAGCGAACGGGCTGCAAGGGCGGATTTCGTTCTTCGAACGGTGACGAATTGCGACAAGGAAATCGATAAACGTGTTTTGGTTAAATCATAAAGATGGGAGAATCTTGAGAATGGGAAGAGTGGAGGATGTGGACGTGCAAGAGGAAACGTCAAGAACAGCAAAAGGAAAGTGCGTGAGAATCAGAACGTGCAAAAAGGCAGGGGCCTGACCAGTCACCGCCGGTCTCGCCTCCCCCCAACAAGGTGAGAATCCGACTGATTGGCTTTCAGGACAATAGCTCCTGCCCACTATGGACACCAAAACAACACAACTGTACGGAGTAATCACCAAAGCTGGGCTTTTCAATGAATTCAGGCAAGAACGACTAAGCCAGAGGAGCAGCCCGCGGCATCGCACTTGCACCGACACAACAATTTAGAAGGATCGACCGGTGCAGAGCTGAACCACCTACAGGAGGCTTGATTCTGGCCATTGGGAGCATTGAGCATGCCCTGCACGCACTTGCGCACACGTCTGTGTTGAAATTGTCTGTAACCCGCCTTATGCATTTGTGAGGGTCGACTTGGGTCGCAATCAATACGTATTAATACTCCGAAGCGGGCAGCCCACCAAGACGGGCGGTCCAAGTCAGAGGTGTTTTGGGGATTGTTTAGGGATACTGCTTTGTCGATCCTTCCCTTTCAAAATGACCAACAGGGCGTGAGATATGGGGCGGGGGTGGCTTTAGCGCCAGAAGCTCCCTGGAAGCAGTCCGTACCTTCTTTGGAGAAGTCGCTGTGCGACGGGGAAGGCGTTCGCCCGATTCCAAGCTGGGTCCTGCCTTCCCATTCAATCAGGGGTTGAGGCAACATCCATCATCGCGCAAATCTGTCGGAAGAGTGCAGGAAACTTGCAGCAAATCTCATCCACACTTTTCCATCGGGTGACACTTCAAACGCCATTCTGCCATTTCGCGATTTCGTGCTCATCAGGCAGCACTTTTTCCAAGGCCCATCGGTCTCTCGCTCACCTTATTCGAATCTCGTCATTTCACAATCGTGTTGCCTAGTTCTAGCTTGCAGGCTTGCAAGTATAACTAGGTTTTCCTTTCTTGTTCTGCCATCTGGTGTTTCCAGCCCACTGCATCCTTTCTTGCGTTTCTGCCTCATCTCGATCCTTTCGTCGCATAGTTTCATCGCATCGTCGGCTTCTGTCGCACCGCCGCTCTCGTCTCGTCGGGCAGCTCCATCTCCTAGCTCCCACCGTTCCCCGCCATGGCCACCAACAACATGAACAACCTGACGACGCTCATCAAGAGGTAGGTTGGCAACTTTCTGCTTGACATTGGCTCAATTGGCTTGTTGGCATAACCTTGAACCAATACTGGCTCGACCACCGAGCTGACCCTCACCCACCGCACCCAGACTCGAAGCTGCCACTGCCCGGCTCGAGGACATTGCGTCGTCCACCATCGAGCTCCCCCAAGCCGTTCCAGGCCTCCAACGATCCATCGCTTCCCCCGAGGCGGGCGGCTCTTCTATTTCGACGCCTTCTACTGCCCCCTCTGCTTCCGCCACTGCTGCTGCCGCTTCGAAGGCGCCAGCAGTCCCCGACGAACCCCTCCCTGAACTCATCGAAGAATTCGACGTGTTCCTCAATGGCGCAGTGGCCAAGTTTGTGGAGCTGAGCAACAAGCGTGGCGGTCTCGTCGCCGAGCAGGCCGCCAAGGTCGCGGAAGGTTTCCGCGCGCAGCGCACGTTCCTGCTCATCTCGACCAAGGCCAAGAAGCCCGATGTGAACGGCGCCGAGATGGCCGTCTATCAGGACCTGCTGAAGCCCATCAACGAGGCCCTCATGGCCGTCAGCGCCATCAAGGACAACAACCGTGGCGCCACCGATTTCAACCAGCTGAGCGCTGTGTCCGAGGGTATTATGGTTCTCGCCTGGGTCACGCTCTCCGGCCGGGCCTTCAAGATGGTGGAGGAGTCGCTGGGTGCCGCCCAGTTCTTTGGCAACCGCGTACTGAAGGAGTACAAGGACAAGTGAGTGACCTTATCTTGATGTCTTTCGATTTTACAAACTCATGCTAATGCATAGCAGGGATCCCCAGCAGGTGGAGTGGGTGCAGAGCTTCTACCAGATTTTCCGCGACCTGGCCGATTACACAAAGGAGTACGTCAATAACGGCATTCCTTGGAACCCCAATGGCAAACCGGCGGCCGAGGCCGCTAAGGAGGTGGCCGCATTAGCACCCGGTGCCTCGTCGTCCGCCTCCGCACCGCCACCCCCGCCTCCGCCTGGTCCTTCGGCTGGTGGTGCACCGCCGCCGCCACCGCCGCCACCACCACCTGGCCCGCCTCCCGTCCTGCAAATCAAGGACGAGTCGGCTGCTCAGACCAACGGTGCCAGCTCGGCGATTGGTGCTGTGTTCTCGGAGATCAACAAGGGCTCGGACGTGACCAAGGGCCTGCGCAAGGTCGACAAGTCGCAGATGACGCACAAGAATCCGGAACTGCGGGCAAGCTCGACGGTGCCCGGCGGAGGTGCTGCGGCAGGAGCAGGCGGCCAGCGTGGCAAGAGTCCGGTGCCGGGTAAGAAGCCGAAGCCGGAGAGCATGCGGGTCAAGAAGCCGGCTAAGAAGGAGCTGGACGGCAACAAGTGGACCATTGAGAACTACGACAAGGAGGCAGCCGCGGCCGGGCCCATTGAGATCGTGGTCAACATCAACCAGTCGATCCTGATCAGCAAGTGCTCGAATGCTACAGTCATTGTGCGCGGCAAGGGCAATGCCGTGACCGTTGAGAACACGGACCGGCTGTCACTGGTTGTGGAGACGCTCGTGTCGTCGGTGGACGTGGTCAAGTCCAAGAACTTTGCGCTGCAAGTGCTGGGCACCATCCCAACGGTGATGCTCGACCAGGTGGACGGTGCACAGGTGTACCTGAGCAAGGAAAGCACGTCGGCGCAGGTGTTTATGAGCAAGACGGAGGGCGTCAACCTCAACATCATCACGCCGGCCGAGCAGCTGGGCGCAGACGAGGAGGAGGGCGACTACAAGGAGGTGCCGCTGCCGTCGCAGATCTGCTCGTACTTTGACGCGGAAAAGGGCGAGCTGGTCAGCGAGATTGTGTCTCACGCCGGTTAGGTTGTGACACGTGTTTTGGGAGGGGAGGTCTATGAGGCAGTTGGTTCGTCGTGTTGGAAAGACGGGAGGTGTCTCATTTTTGTCTGTATATTGCGAGTGTATTGTGCATTAGCCGAAGAGAGTGGTGTAGGTAGTGTTCGAGTAAGACGCTGTGTTACATGTAGACAGAATCTTGTTGAAGCTCATTGTATAGCTGTTTTCAAAAGAGCCTTTCAACTTGCAGTTGAGCATGTTTGCCGCTATTGTGGCCTTATGACCTCAGAAACAGCTCGTCCTATATGAATTAAACAATGTGAATGATCTTCCGCTACTAAACACAAAATAGTCGTGTCTTTTTATTATTTCATAGTGGTGTATGATATATATTATCAAAATCAAGTAAGATTCCCGCTTGCATCTGCACCTTTGTTGAAAGATGACCCTCGTGCTCAAGTATGCTTTTACGTTCAAAGGGAGCAAACGAACACTGTTTCGCCGTAATGCTCCAAAAATCGAATATCAAATGCAAGCCCAGTCTGCCACACTCGAAAGAGTTCGTACCCACCTCGTTCTAAGTCTAGCCACAAGATTGTGGACGCAACGCCGTTGAAGTGTTGCTATGCTGAACAAAGCACCCATAGAGGGACCAGTCTGTCTGTATATAAGCACCAAACCTTAGAAGAGACCGTCGATCTCGCCCGTCTCGACATCGATATCGACGTTGAGATATCCCGGCGCGGTGGGCAGACCCGGGATGGTCTGAATATCAGCAGCAAGAGCGTACCTATGTTCGTTAGCATGTGTTGTAAACAGAACCGTAGGATGGCGTAGAAACGCTGGGGACTCACAAGTATCCTGCACCAGCCGCCATGCGCACGTCCCGGATGGGCACGGTGAATCCTGTGGGTGCACCCTTCAGGTCTGGGTCGTGCGACAGCGAGTACTGCGTCTTGGCCACGCAGATGGGCAGGTTGCCAAATCCTTGGCGGGTGTACGTGTCCACCTTCTTCTGTGCCAGCTCGCTGAACTCGACAGCCGCCGCGCCGTACATGTCGCGCGCAATCTTCTCAATACGCTCCTGCACGCTGCCCTCGAGGCTGTACAGAAGATGGAAGTCCTTGGGCTTCTCGCTGGCGGCAACGACGGCGTTGGCCAGGTCGACAGCGCCTTTGCCACCCTCGGCCCAGTGGTTGGCCAGGATGGCGTCCTCGGCACCCGCGGCAATGGCCTCCTCGCGAATTACGGCAATCTCGGCGTCCGTGTCCGTCGAAAACTTGTTGATGGCCACAACAACGGGCACACCGTACGTCTTGGCATTGGCAATGTGCTTGCGCAGATTGACGCAGCCCTTGCGCAGGATGTCGACGTTCTCCTCGCGGTAGACGGCATTGAGCGGCGCGCCAGGTGAAATCGGAGGGCCGCCACCGTGCACCTTCAGAGCACGGACAGTCGCCACCACGACAACGACGTCGGGTACGAGGCCGGACGTGCGACATTTGATGTTGAAGAACCGCTCACCACCCATGGTGAAGTCGAAACCGGCCTCGGTCACGACGAAACCGGCCTTGGCCTTGGGGTCTTCGTCCGGCTCTGTGCCGGCGAGTTTGAGAGCCAGCTTGTCCGCCAGAATCGAGCTGTTGCCAATGCTAATGTTGGCAAAGGGGCCCGCGTGGACGAAGACGGGCGTGCCCTCCAGCGACTGCATCAGGTTGGGCTTGATGGCGTCTTTCATCAGTGCCGCGAGGGCACCGCCGGCGCCAATGTCGTCGCACGTCACAGGGTCGCCGCTGCGCGACGTCGCAACCACCATGCGGCCGAGGCGCTCACGCATGTCCGACAGGCTTGTGCTCAAGGCCAGGATGGCCATGCACTCACTGGCCACGGAAATGTCGAAGCCAGTTTCGCGGGTCTGCCCCTTCTCGGTGGGCGCCGTGCCGACCGTGATGCCGCGCAAGTGGCGGTCGTTGACATCCAGGACACGCTTCCAGGTGATTGTCTCCGGATCGATGTCGAGACGGGCAAACATGGTGATCTCCTCCGGTGTCAGAGAGTCGGGATCGGTCTTGTCGATGCCGAGCTTCTTCAGACGACGGAACATGACCGGTTGGAAAGTTCGCTTGCCGTTCTTGGCGGGTACCAGGCGCTTGTAGAGGGGGCCGTCCTTTTGCGTGTTCTCGTGGAAAATGCGCGTCTCAATGGCAGCCGCCAGCAGGTTGTTGGCCGCCGAGATGGCGTGGATGTCGCCTGTGAGGTGCAAGTTGAACTCGTCCATGGGGATGACCTGGCTGTAGCCACCACCGGCCGCACCGCCCTTAATGCCGAATGTCGGGCCCTGGCTGGGCTGGCGAACGTTGGCAAACGTGAGGCGGCCGAGGTGGGCGCCCAGGGCCTGGGCAAGACCCATGGTAGTGGTCGACTTGCCCTCGCCCAGCGGCGTGGGCGTGATACCCGTCACCACGACGTAGCGACCGTTCTGGCGGTGCTCGAGACGCTTCAGGACATCAAGGTCGACCTTGGCCTTGTAGGCGCCGTACGGCTCCAGCTCGGCGGTGGTGATGCCAATCTCGGAAGCCACGCGAGTGATTTGCTTTGGCCGCTGCGCACGGGACACGGTAATGTCCGACGGGACGGGCTCCTGCAGTTTCAAGGGCAGTGGTACAATGTGGCGGTTCTTCAGGCCCTCAAAGTAGTTGGTGGCGGCCTCGACCACGTTCTGCATCAGCATGGCGACGGTCATCGGGCCAACACCACCGGGCACGGGCGTGAGATACGACGCAACTTGCGCGACCTGCTCGTGGTTCACATCGCCGACGAGGCGCTGGCCGGATTTCTTGGTCGCGTCCGGGATGTAGTTGGTGCCGACGTCAATGACGACGGCACCGGGCTTCAGCCAGCTGCCCAGGATGAACTCGGGCTGGCCAATGGCGGCGACGACCACGTCGGCCTGCTGAATGTGGTCAACCAAGCCCTGGGTCTGCGAGTGGCATGTTGTCACGGTGGCATCTGCATGGCGCAGAAGCGAGGCGACGGGGCTGCCGACAATGTCGCTGCGGCCAACGACGACGGCGTTCTTTCCCCGCAGATTGATACCGGTCTCCTTGAGGAGGGCCATGATTCCCTTGGGCGTGCAGGGGGATGAAAAAGCGGGGCGCGCGCGCTGCGAGCTCGCCATTGTTGGTACCGAAGCCATCAACATCCTTCTCGGCAGCGACAGCCGAGGTGACATTGTACTCAGACAGGTGCTTTGGCAGCGGCAACTGGACAAGGATGCCGTGAACGCTGGGGTTGTAGTTGAGGCGCTCGATCTCCTCGAGCAGCTCAGGCTCGGAGATTGACTCGGGCAGGTGGATGAGCTCACAGAGAATGCCAGCCTAGAGTGGGAGCGGCCGGTGTTTAGCAACATGACGCCATTGCCGTCACATGTGATTCTAGAGAGGGGAGTGTGTCACAGCTTACCTCTTCGGCGGCCTTGAGCTTCATGCGAACATAGGTAGCTAAACGTCAGGGAGCCAACAACTGTCAGTCACGAACAAAAAAAAAAACACCATTGGTCAACAGCAAACGTTCCACGCCCAGGCGATATCGGTTTCGAGGGTCGTTTCTTACAGGAGTCAGACCGGTCGGCGACTGTAGAAGCAATTGAGTCAGTGTGAGCTGCCGGAGGATCAAGTTGAGTCATTCAATGGACCAGGGCACGTACCCTGGATGATCTTGAGGCTTGGCTGGAAACGCGGGTTGGACTTCTGCTGTTCGGCGATGTCGGCACGCAGCGACTCCCGGATCTTCTTGGCGAGCGCCGTGCCGTCAATCTTTGCGGCGACCATGGCGGAGCTGGAGAATGGGCGGCTGCGAGAGCGGGTGGGGAGAGAAAAGGGGGATCCTGCGGAAACTGCAGAAAAAACAGCAAAGCGAGGGCGAGCGAGGGGTGTCCGGCTAGCAAACGTGGTCTTTGAGAGCTGTTGGAGACCGACTCGGGCCGGCGCCGCTGACCCGAAGGAGGATGAGGGGCTCGTGGTGATGTTGGGGCGAAGAGAGCTGGTGCTGCAAAGGAAGAGACTGCTACTGGCGTGCGAGCATGCGCTCGTGGTAGCTCTCGTTCTGCTTCTTGGGCAGGTTCTCGTGCTGTACAAGCGGCTGCAGCCAACGGACGACATGCAACTCAAGGGCAATCGCTCAGGAGCTGGATGTTGCCAAAGCGGTTTTTTTGTTTGGCGGCTTAAATCGGGTCTGGCGATAGGCGCTACCGGCCAAACATGTGCCTTTGGGGCAGGTGGTGCTGGTGCCTGACGCTTACATGCATATTCAAAGCCACCACAAGTCGGCACTCTGCGCGGGTGCAGGGGTGGTGGCATGTCTCTGTCTGGACCAGGATCCTGTATGATAAGGACGTTCAGAGGGCGAGGAGGAAAATCTGACGATGACGGGAAATAAGATCGATGTGGTACCAGAAAGGGAAAGGGACTGCGAGGGAAGGGGCCCAGCGCGAATTGCCTCGCGAAAACGGAAACCACGCACCACTCTTTGCCCCTTGAGAAAGCGCCGCAAATGACACAACAGTCGCAGAAGGAACGTTCTAATCGGAAATATAACTAGTCTTGCCTATTTTGTTGTTATTTTCCTGTCTCCTTCTTAGTACTCCCTCGATGTGTGACTCAGATGCGGGAACGGCAGGTACTTGTCGCAACAGTTCGCGGAAGGAATGACGGGGAACAAAACGCCAAGACTAGTCAGGGCGTCCGAGCCTTCCCTCTCGGTGAGCGGACGGTGGAATGTTGATATATGAAAGTAAGCGAGCTTACACCATGAGACTGAGGCGGATGAACTGCACGAGATGCAACAAGGTCGTGAACAAACACGAGCAAAGTAGCTGCGAATGCAGAGAGAGCGACAGGCTCGTGCATTGGGAGATGGGGAACGGACCATAGAAATAGGAAATACAAGGGTCTCTCTTGGCCGGCGATATGTATGTTGAACACGCCGGCAATTCAAACAAAAATACGGTCGCCGCGCATGAGGCGCTTTCCACGCCTTCCCAGACACGGCTCGTCAGACAAGCGGCGAGTTCAACCGCCAACTGCATCCGTAAGCGGAGGCCAAGGCATTTGGTGATTTCTCGGCATGCGCCTGGCCACCGCAACAGAACCCACGGCAAGACAAATAAATGCCTTCGCAAAAGACGGGATGTGTCAAAGAATCGTCAACTGGCGGATTAGCGTCACCCTGCATCTGGATTTCACGATGCAGCGCGGACCAATAAAGAACGGCCGAAGACGGCGGCGTCTAGATGCGCACGGCAGAGCCATTCTTGTGCGCGGCCAGTTGACCCTTTCGCGATGCCGCCGCACGACAGGTCGCGTGGGAGGGTGGTGGGGGTAAGTGACTCCAGGGTATGCAACTATCAGAAATGGTGGTCAGCAAACGGTACAAAATGAGGCTGCCAAATTGGGACTCTGAGTCACGTGGTGAGTCAAATGCCACTGGACCCCTGTCCAAGGTACTGCTTGTGTACTGTGGCATACAAAAGGTACTAAATGCTGCCTAGACGGCTGTTTGCCCCGCCCTTTCCCTTGACGAGGTTCGGCGCACAAAGACCCCACAGTTAATACTCTGCTGGTTCGCATTTGGTGAGAAAAAAAATGAAGACATTGTTATCAAATTCGGTCGCAGAAACGAGACTACCATCTGCAACCTCTCGCACGACCACCACCACGCGTCCACGAAACTGAGTCGCGCTACAGCGGACATTTCCGACTTCTGAAAAACACCCAGCATGCGGCCGATTTTACTATCTGGGCACGAGCGTGCCCTCACGCAAGTGAGGTGAGTTTGAGCGAGCGCTTCTCTGAAGTGAAAACGAAAGACGATATCGAACAGTGCGGTGGGGAATACCACGAGGACTAGGGAAACCGCCGCGTGATGGCTCTGGATGAAAAATACACAGAGTGTATGCATCCAAACGACACGCGCAAGAGCCTGGTTGGCGCATGGGGGTGCGGATGCAGCAGACATGGCGGGGTGGTCTGGAGGAAAGACAGTCGACAAACGACGCTTTTCTTTTTATAAAAAGAATCATAGCCCGACAGCAAGATTGACTAACGCTTTCCCTTCCTAGATACAACCATGACGGCGATTTGATCTTCTCCGTGTCCAAGGATCAGCACATCTGCGCCTGGTACGCACACAACGGCGAGCGTCTCGGAACATACCAGGGCCACCAGGGCGCCATCTGGACGGTCGACGTCGACCCGACAACGACGATTCTGGCCAGCGGCTCGGCTGACAACACGATCCGGCTATGGGACGCCATGACTGGCAAGCTTCTCAAGACGTGGGAGTTCCCGACGGCCGTCAAGCGCGTCGAGTTCAACGAGGATGCCACGCAGCTGCTGGGCGTGACGGAGAAGCGCATGGGCCACCTGGGCACCATTGTGGTGCTGGACATCAAGGTCGACGTGGAGGCGGAGCAGACGGACGAGCGCGCCATGACGATTGTCTGCGACGAGAGCAAGGCCACCGTCGCCGGCTGGAGCTACCTGTCCAAGTACATCATTGCGGGTCACGAGGATGGCTCGGTATCGCAGTACGACGGCAAGACGGGCGAGCTGCTTTACAACGTGCAGATCCACGACCTGAACCAGCCCATTACGGACCTGCAGTGGTCGCCCGACCGGACATACTTCATCACGGCGTCCAAGGACAAGACGGCCAAGCTGGTGTCGGCACGCGACCTGACCGTGCTCAAGACGTACACGGCCGACACGCCGCTCAACAGCGCCTCCATAACCCGCAAGAAGGACTTTGTCATCCTGGGCGGTGGTCAGGCGGCCATGGAGGTCACGCAGACGGCGGCCCGCCAGGGCAAGTTCGAGGCCCGCTTCTACCACAAGATCTTTGAGGACGAGATTGGCCGTGTCCGTGGCCACTTCGGCCCTCTGGTGCGTTGCCCTTCCTTTCCCCTCCCTACCCACTTCCTTCCCCCTCTTGGATATAGTCACTGAACAAACGCTAACATCATGCAAGAACACCGTTGCTGTTGATCCTACCGGCAAGGGTTACGCGAGTGGAGGTGAGGACGGTTACGTGCGTGTGCACCAGTTTGACAAGGGCTACTTTGACTTCCTGTACGAGGTGGAACGGGAACGGGCGAACCAGCTGGCTCTGCAGCAGTAGGTGGTAGGTGACTTGTCCGGGCGGTGGTAGACGGAGGAAACAAAAAAGCGGCATAGAGGCGCGCAGTCAGCATCTGGTACCATGCAACGTGTGGGTCGAGTGTTTGTGGGAGTCCCTCAATGGCCCTTGCAGCATTCATGGCGTTTCTGGGATTTTGTCTTGTTTTATGTTTTTGGTCCGGGATTTCAGAACCTAAAAATACGTCTACTATTTATGTTCCGTTTTAATCTCTGGCACGTTTTTGTATAAGAATTGATGTGAGGTGGTACATATTTTCGATCCAAATCATATTATAAAACACGCACGCAAGTACACTCACACAATTACACACGCTCGCTGACCCAGATAGCGCTGCGACAGCCCAGACGGATGACGCCCGTCAGCAGCCAGTGCGGCTCGGCCTTTTGCGCATCGTTGTCGACGGCATGGTCCAAGTGCTCCAGCTCCTCGTCGCGGATCCGGCGCAGCGTCGACGTCAGCTCCTCCAGCTCCGGCCCCACCTCGTAGCCCTCTGCCTTCCATGCGTCCGTCATCTCCAGCAGCTCGCGGATCTGGCCGTTGTAGTGTGTGCCAATCTCCGTCTCCACGGCCTCGGTGCACGCCATAGCCGCCTCGCGGCCCAACATTGCCGTCGACCAGCCAAGGCCCGTGGCCAGGGCCGACCAGACCGGATACAGCGCCGTGGGCCGCACGCGATGCTTGGCAATCAGCTTGTTGAACGTCTTGAGGTGGCCGACCTCCTGGTCATGCATGTGCTTCATCAGCGGCCGCAGATGCGGGTGCCGGCGCACAATCACCGGCGTCTGGGCGGCGTAGATGAGTGTGGCCGCCAGCTCGCCCGTCTGGTTCACACGGAGCTGCGCGTGTTAGCACGGTTGCAGGTCGATCGAAATTCAGGCAGAGAAAACATCCAATAGTACACCGTGCGATAATACATACTGCAGAGGAAAGGAAGTCTTTCTGCTCTTGGGTCAGCGGCTTGCGCTTCGGCTTCGCGTCACTCGAGCTGGAAGAGTGCGGTGGTGGCGGTGGTGGTGTGGAAGCAGATGCAGAGCCAGGCACAGAGTCTGGGTCATTGACAACAGCCGCCAGACGGCGAGCCGGGACCGTTGACAGGCCGCATTGCGGGCACGATCTTGAGGCCAAAGAAGGCGAAGACAAAAGAGGTGACGCTGACACGCCTGTCCGGCGGGCCGCCCGTAACAGTGCTCTTAATGTTATTGGCAGCATTTTGTATGTGATAGAGGTCTTGCGGACGAGAAACGCGAATCTCTACAATAATTGCTTCCTCAATAAATGTGCTGTCGTCAATCGAGGCCTGAATCGTCCGACCATCTTCAAAAGCCAATGATCCATTCCGAGGAGCTCTGGTGGATACGCCAGTGTGGTTGATTCCGGCTCTTCATTGGTCAGATAGCCATAAGTGGATCCCTTCTGGATTTTTACTCTGCCACCTGCCAGTCCACCAGCTGGCGGGCTATTGCGCTAAGACAAAACCAGCCAATCATGGGCGTGCCCAGGGCGAGGCCTCAAAGTGAGCCAAGGGGAAACAATTGTCAACAGCACCGAATTTAGATTGTTTGCTGTGTTGGACCGCAACGTTTGCTTTCATCGATCTTTGGCCATCAGTCGTTGTTGTGCAAAAGTTCGACCATCCGCCGCCACATTTTTATCGTTAACTTGTCCCCGAGTTCTTCTCCTCGGCAGGTACTTTACACCAGTACTGACTCACGAAGAGCGCAAAGTCTCGATATTTTCGCTCTTGGATATCGCAATACCGCGTTTCCATTTTGACTGCAAACACAACATCTGTCGCACCATACGATCAGAATGTCCGACGTTGATGACGAGCTCCTTGCCCTCGCTGGTGGCGGCGAGTCCTCGGACGAAGATGTTCCCCCACAGCGCAAACGGCGCTCGGCCGCCGCATCTGACGATGAAGACGACGACGACGATGCGCCCGTGAGCAGACACCGCAGCCGGAGCCAGTCCGAGTCACGCCCGGTGTCCCGCGGGGACGACAACCACCCACGCAAAAACGACTCGCCGAGCTCCGCCGGCATGTCCGTGAAGAAGCCGACCAAGGCCAGACGGCGGGCACAGTCCGACGATTCAGAGGAGGAGGGCGAGGCGTAAGTCCAGGACATGTTCTCGTCTCGTGTGCCTCAGAAGTGGCCATTGGCAAACTAACCTCCGGCCAGCTCATCGCAACCCGGTACCCCCAGCTCGCAACAATCAGCACCCATGGACGAGTCCGACTCGGAGTCGGACGCCGATGTGACAACCACGAAGAAGTCGCGGGCTGCCGCGGCCGCTGCTGTGGCCGACGACGACGACGATGACGAGAATAAGTACCCCGTCGACGGTCTCTTTGCGACGCACGAGGAGAAGGAAGAGATTATGGGCATGCGCGAGGTGGAGCGTGAGCAGATTCTGGCCGAGCGCGCCATGGAAAAGGACCGCATCCACCAAAACAAGCTCCTGCGCAGCCTCGTGAGCAACGACGAACAGCGTAAGAAGCGGTCGGCGAGCGCGGCCGACCTCGACGAAGGCCAGCGCAAGACATCGCGCGTGCGCACAAAGCTGGGCGGCACCAAGGTTGGTGAGACGCACTCGGCCATTGACACGCTCAAGAGCCGGCGTGCCGAGAAGAGCGAGCGCAACCGGCGGCGCGAGGAGGACCGTGAGCGGCGGAAAGACCGGCCGTCGTCGCGCGGCGGGCGCAGCGACAGCAGTCGCTCGGACGACGAGGACGATGACGATGGCTATGAGCCGGGCGACGCCGACAGCGACGTGGAGTGGGCCAAGCCCTCCAAGAAGTCGCGGTCGCCCGAGCTCAAGGTCAGCCAGGTTGCGGAGCTGCGGGACGTGGAGCGCGTGCGTCTCAGCCGCAGCCGTTTTGGCCAGGTGTGCTTTTACCCTGGTTTCGAGGAGAAAATCACAGGCACCTTTGTCCGGATATCTATCGGCCCTGATCCGGAGACGCGCGAGCCTGTCTATCGCATGGCACTTGTCAAGGGTATGTAATGCGCCAGAGTTGTGGAGCGGAAAACTGTGGGCTTCCTATTAACACGGCATCAGGCTTCACCAAAGGCAAACCGTACGCCATCTCGGGCCCGCAGGGCCAAATGATTGTCACGGACCAGTATGTCCTGGCCGCACACGGAAAGGCCCAGAGAGAATGGCCCTTCCTTGCATGCTCTGACAGCCCATTTACTGAGGTAAGCACCCATCATATCCAGTCAATGTGATTCGGTTTTTTTATTTCTATTTTTGTTTCAGCTTGATATTAACACCACCACCCAGTCTGAGTGGTCGCGGTACCAGAAGGTGTGCCACGCCGATGGCGTATCCGTTCCAAAAAGGGGCCTGCTGCTCAACAAGGCGGACGATATCAACCAGCTGATCAACCGCAAGTGGACCGAGCAGGAGCTCGTCGAAAAAGTCGACCGCCAACAGGAGCTCAAGAGCCGCTTCAACGGCGTCGACCGCCTGCGCCTCGAGACCGCCATCAAAGAGGCCAAGGCCCTCGGCAACGCTGAGCGTGCACAGAAGCTGCAGGAGGAGCTCGACAGCCTCGAGACCCCCCGCCTCGCCTTCCGCACGTCCCTCACTGCATCGACCAAGACCAGCAACGAGCCGTCGCAGCAGGAGCGCCTCGCCCGTCTCAATGCTGAGAACCGCCGACGCAACGCCGATGCTGTGCGCAAAGCGCAGCTGCGCGAGCGCAAGAAGGCGCGCGAGATTGAGCGCAAAATTGAGAATGGCGAGGAGGTCGAGGAGGACACGTCTCGGCGTGTCAAGACGCGGGCCAAGTTTGTGCACGACATCAATGACAATGGCGCCACGCCCGAGAGGAAGCCCGGCAGCCAGGCGGGCAGCGGTGCGAGCACACCGGCCAACGGCACACCGCGCCTTGGCGCACAAAAGAGCGGTTCTGGACTCCTGCCGCACCTGGCCAAGCTGCAGCAGCAACAGCGGGCGACAGCCAAGAACGGCCTGCCCGTGCTCCACAAGCCGATTGTGGACGACGACATTATTGCGTCGCTCGATCTTGACATTGACGACAACATCTTTGACGACTAAGGACGTTGTTCAGGATGGGATTGTTGGTCGATACTGTTATGTTTTCTTGTTATATTTTATTTTCCCCTTCCCTTTTCGTGTATCAGGCGTGTTTTTTAAAATAACTTTAGGGAGAGCGGAAGATGCAAAGCGCAGGACAAGGCTCTGTATCACAATTACAAAATTGCACAACAACGGCGTGTGGTGTTTGTATTTTATTTTTAAACCAACGGGGCAACTACAAAATATTATAAATGCTATGAGGCATACGGCAGCCCATAGAGGGATTAGATCGTAAACGTGAAGCATCAACGTCGTGCCAAGGAAAGAGATGCGAACCAGTAGCCAAACAAATAATGAAACAAAATCAAGTGGTAGTTAACATCCTAAGAAATATATTGTGCTTTGGCTTCACTCAACAGCTCACGTCATACCAGGCCTTGAAATCTCTTTTCACACATCGCCGGCCTCAAGAGCCCGCAATCGCCGCTCCAGATCGGCATTCTGTTTCTCGAGCTTCTCAACTTGCGCCTCCAGCTCTTCCATCTGCTCTTCGGCGCCCACGCTCATCTCCTCGACAATCTTGACCACACGCCACAAACGCAGCACAATGACCAGGGACGCAATCTCTTCAAGAACGCCGTGCGCCAGCACATCCACCACGAAGCTCACGAGGATGACAAAAGCGTCGAAGCAGTGGAACCAGGACGAGAAGAAGTCGGTTCCAAACGCCCACAGCGAAGACAGCAGCTCGGCCAAAAACAGACTGCTAATGACCAGCCCGATAATCTTGGTGGCCTCGAGCACAGGGTCAACCCATGGCTGGTTCTCGGTGCCGGTCTCGCAGGTGACAAGCGACACCAAAATCTCCGTGAGGATGGCGACGACGTCGAGGCCGACGAGTGTCAAGATCAGGTAGTGTTTCTGTTTGGAGGCGAGGTAACGCTGCGACCGACGGCGCCATTGCTGGATGCGTGCACGAGTATGTCCAATGTGCGAATGGCTGATGGCATGAGCCGGATGAGGCAGCAGTGGCTGGTTGTCTGCCATGTTTGGATGCCGGACGTTTTGAGCGGCGGTTGGAGTTTCGGGTAGTGCCGAGGAATGCCAAGCCGCGACAGTCCCTAAAAGGAAACGATGCAGACCAAGAAGGAGCAGGGCTCGCAAGGAAGGAGCGAGGCTGGCGATGAAGTCGCGATCGTAAAACACAAACAACAGACACGGGGAATAGAATGGATGTACGTCGTAATCAAGATCAAATACGTTTTAATAAATTGTAAAAGAACGCACAAGTGTGTCTTAAAACAGTCTACCTAGCAAAAATGACGCGCAATGACGCTGCTTGAAAGAGGAAAGTTGGCGGAGGATGGAAACAGTAAGGAGATAAGCGTCACGTGAAGGGACCACACACCAAAATAGCAAATATTAATAGGAGGCAGTCTTCGATATGTCGCACAACGATTCACAACATACCGAGACATTATGGCTTTGGATATCATTTCTATTTCCCTACTCCGAATAATGTTGTTAAATAAACGACACCCGGGTGCCAAACTCTGCTATGCAATGTGATATAGTAATGCCGTCCCCGTATACATGATTAAACAAAAAATACCTGCAGTTGCCAAAAAACAAGATGCTCCGAGAAACAACAACGCCGGCCACGGCCGTGAGTAGCAACGTCAGTGTATGGTCTACCGTTCCTGCTGTGGTGCATTGGCCGTGTACAGGGTAATTCCAAAGTGGATATGCTGAAATGCTGGAGAAAAACGCCCCTTTCCATCATCCTCCACTGCAAGTAATAAAACTGCGGTCGAACGATCGATGAACGGCAAACTTGGCCTATGCTTGCCGAGATCGCTTGCCGCCACCGCGCCCAAACACGTCTTTGCCATAGCCTAGGCTCGCCAAGTCAAAAATCTCGTCAAAGTTGAGCTTGCGCTTTTGACCGGCGGAGCTGCGGTTGTAGCGTGCCGTCAGAGTACTGCGGCCGTTTGGCCGGCCCGCCGCGTGCCGTACGCGAAATTGTCGCGAGCCCGCTGTGTGCGACGGGCTGGACGATGTGCCGTCGGCTTGCGGAGTGTTGGACGGCGCGTTGAACACATATGTCGATCCTGTCGTTGCTGTGGCCGACGGTGGCTCAGACGCGTCTTTGACAGAGCCGGACGCCGATCGCCGGTCCGACAGATCGAGGTTGGCAAGCTCCAGGTATGATTCGTTGGTGGGATACGGCACCGTTGAGCGGAAAGTAAAGTGGTCTAGGTTGGCGTTGGAAACGTCGGCGTCCGCGCCTGTGTCGGCAGCCGTCGATGTCGATGCTGAGGAAGATGCAGACGTCGTCGTGGCGCCTCGCGCTTTGGTCTTGCTCTTCTTCGTCGACACAGGCGCGGCCATCGGAGATGACGCTGCTTCCCGGTAGTTCTTGGACGGCGAGGGCGTCTCCGCCTCTGTTTCCATATCCGCCTCCGCATCTGCCTCGGCCTCCGTATGCATGGCCGTATCGTTGCCGTTCATGTTGCTGCTGCCGTTGTTGGCGTTGCTTGTTGTAGAATCGTGATCTCGCACTTGGCGGTCGGCGCTGTTGGCGGCGGCAGGTTGTGGTTCCGGCGTCGAGCCCTCGGTCTTCTCAACCTCGTCCTCGCTCTCGATCGTCGGCAGGATCGGCTCGCGGCCATCCAGCCGCTCCACAATCCATCGGCGTATTGTCCGCACATCCACGTCGCCCTTGTCCAGAACCACCAGCAGGTCCTCCAGGCAGTCTTGGTAGCCCTCGATCCGCGCCTTGGACTGCACGGCCGCCGACGTTTTGTACAGTTTCGTCACCGAGAGCGCTGCCGCCTTGAAGACGTCCAGCAGCTCCTCGGGGCTGCTCTCAGCGCTGTGGCCGAGCATAGAGTGCGTTGTTGTGCCGGATGCCCGCTTGCCGCTCATTCTGCGACGCCTGTGTCGGCGGTGTATTGTGTGATGGGTCGATGCCAGAGGCTGACTGTCGCCGATGGCTTTGGATGGTCGTGTTGATGCACTGGAAGATATCCAACCGCGAGCCTTTTCAACGGCGCGATGGAGGTGATAAAATGTATCAGAGATAGATCCCAGACGTTGTCGTTTGTGTTGCACGGCTTTCCGTCTCGTATTTGGTCAGCCCGTTTCGAAAACTGTTGTCGTAGTGGGGAGGGTCCAGAGAGGGGATATGCGTTGCTGGGAAGATGCAGTGATTTTTGCCCTGTGACTTATCTTTAGCGGGTTGCCACGATTGGAGTGGATGGCCCATAGGGGCCCTCGCCGTGCTGCCTATTATTGGTCAGCCGTACAAGTCACAAGGAAATATGGGTCTTGGTGCCTGATGATTTATCACGTGCAATCGATTGGCCAATTCGGATAAAATTTGTTGCGTCACGCTTCGATGTCCTCTCCCTTCCTGACACGGCTAGCCGCACTGTGATTGGCAGGAACGACCGCGAGCGCGCCTCGATCCTCGAAATTTTGGGACTAACACCCAACGCCGCCAAGGAAGGCACGGTACAGCACCCCTTCCCGCTAAGTAACAGTAGTGGGCGCCCTGCATCCATTGTCGAGAACGGCATCAGCATCTTCTCTTTTTTCAACACCCTCTGGTCCGCCCCTTTACACCACTCACCGTGAGACCACTACGCGCCAGTGACACCTTTTCAACTGCATTCGCATCTAGGACGCTGCTCTTCGAACTTCCCATCCATTCGTCACGCGCAATCGATTCATTCACGGCGTGCACCAAAGGATCGCTAAAACGTTGCAAAGAGGCGCGTTTCCAACGCGTAAAGTGCAGACTTCGCGAGCCTTCCGACTCCCGTCGACTGGACGCCCCTGGAGCTGCACCAACTGCTCATCCGATCGATAGGCAGACATACGAATATTCAACACCGACCTCTCATACCCCAGATCGCCCGCCATGGCTGCCTCGCGGCACGACGATGGCAACGACACGGACGCGTCCATGGCTGATGCGCCCGCCTCTCGGCCCCAGTACTACGAGGTGTGTACTGCCTACTCCGGTCGACATTCTGCCTGATGATTTCCGGGCTGCCGGTTAACTAACTTGTGCAGATGGACGACACCCCAGACTACACAGAGGACTCCGACACCAACCCCAATACGACGGCGAGCAGCGTCATCGGCGACGCCGCGCCCGACAGCCGGAGACGCAAGTCTGAGGCCAACCAGCTCCGTCGCAGCATATTCGGCCGCAAGCATGACCGTCTTGGCGAGTCAAAGGTGCGTGACCTTTCCAGCCTACCGATTTCGGCCGTCCCTCCCTTTCTTTGCCCATACTGACTAGTGTTTTCCCTGCTTCAGGAAGACGACACCATTCGACGATTCAAGTACCTGCTCGGACTGACCGACCTGTTCCGCCACTTCATCGACACAAACCCGAACCCCAAGGTGCGCGAGGTTGTTGAGGAGATTGACCGGCAGAACGCAGAGGCCAGCAAATCCAAGAAGTCGGCACGCCAGGGCGGTGCGGCTACCGGCCGGCAGCGGCGGACAGAAGCCGAGGAGGATGCCGAGCTGCTTCGGGACGAGAAACACGGCGGGTCGGCCGAGACCGTCTTCCGCGAGTCCCCGTCCTTCATCCAGGGCACGATGCGTGACTACCAAGTGGCCGGCCTCAACTGGCTGATCTCGCTGCACGAGAACGGTATCTCGGGCATCCTCGCCGACGAAATGGGTCTGGGCAAGACCCTGCAGACCATCTCGTTCCTGGGCTACCTGCGCCATATTATGGGCATCACCGGCCCGCACCTGGTCATTGTGCCCAAGTCGACCCTCGACAACTGGAAGCGCGAGTTTGCCAAGTGGACGCCCGAGGTCAACGTGCTGGTCCTGCAGGGCGCCAAGGAGGAGCGGAACAACCTGATCAACGACCGCCTGATCGACGAGAGTTTTGACGTCTGTGTCACCAGCTACGAGATGATTCTCCGCGAAAAGGCACATTTGAAGAAGTTTGCCTGGGAGTACATCATCATCGACGAGGCCCACCGCATCAAGAACGAGGAGTCGTCGCTCGCCCAGGTCATCCGCCTGTTCAACTCGCGCAACCGGCTGCTGATCACGGGCACACCGCTGCAGAACAACCTGCACGAGCTGTGGGCCCTGCTCAACTTCTTGCTGCCCGATGTGTTTGGTGACTCGGAGGCGTTTGACCAGTGGTTCTCGGGCCAGGGCCGCGACCAGGACACCGTCGTGCAGCAGCTGCACCGCGTGCTGCGGCCTTTCCTGCTGCGGCGTGTCAAGAGCGACGTGGAGAAGAGCCTCCTGCCGAAGAAGGAGGTCAACGTCTACATTGGCATGTCGGACATGCAGGTCAAGTGGTACCAAAAGATCCTGGAGAAGGACATTGACGCCGTCAACGGCGCCGGCGGCAAACGCGAGTCCAAGACGCGCCTGCTCAACATTGTCATGCAGCTGCGCAAGTGCTGCAACCACCCGTACCTGTTTGAGGGCGCCGAGCCGGGTCCGCCGTACACGACCGACGAGCATCTTGTGTTCAATGCCGGCAAAATGGTCGTGCTCGACAAGCTGCTCAAGCGCATGCAGAGCCAGGGCAGCCGCGTGCTCATTTTCTCGCAGATGAGCCGCCAGCTGGACATTCTGGAGGACTACTGCGTCTTCCGCGAGTACCAGTACTGCCGCATTGACGGCAACACGGCGCACGAGGACCGCATTGCGGCGATTGACGAGTACAACAAGCCTGGGTCTGAAAAGTTTGTGTTTTTGCTGACGACGCGCGCCGGCGGCCTCGGCATCAACCTGACGACGGCCGACATTGTGGTGCTCTACGACAGCGACTGGAACCCGCAAGCCGATTTGCAGGCCATGGACCGCGCGCATCGCATTGGCCAGACCAAGCAGGTGTACGTGTACCGCTTCATTACGGACAATGCCATTGAGGAGAAGGTGCTGGAGCGCGCAGCCCAAAAGCTGCGGCTCGACCAGCTGGTCATCCAGCAGGGCCGGGCGCAGATTGCGGCCAAGGCGGCGGCCAACAAGGACGAGCTCTTGTCGATGATCCAGCACGGCGCCGAGAAGGTGTTCAACACCAAGGGCGGCGGCACGGGCACGATGGGCGAGAAGGGCATGGAGATGACGGACGAGGACATTGACACGATCCTGCAGAGCGGCGAGAAGCGGACCCAGGAGCTCAACGCGCGGTACGAAAAGCTGGGCATCGACGACCTGCAAAAGTTCACGTCGGAATCGGCGTACGACTGGAACGGCGAGAACTTTGCGGCCAAGAAGAAGGACGTCGGGCTGACGTGGATCAACCCGGCCAAGCGCGAGCGCAAGGAGCAGGTGTACTCCATCGACCAGTACTACCGGCAGGCCATGTACGGCCACGCGCAAGCGCAAAAGGAGGCCAAGCCCAAGGCGCCGCGCGCACCCAAGCAGATCCACATCCAGGACTACCAGTTCTACCCCGAGGCGCTGCGCGACCTGCAGGACCGCGAGACAGCCTACTACCGCAAGGAGATTGGCTACAAGGTGCCGCTGGCGGATGGCGAGGAGGAGACGCTGGCGGAGCGCGAGGCCGAGCAGCAGATCGACCAGCAGGAGATTGACAACGCGACGGCGCTGACGGAGGAAGAGCAGGAGGAGAAGCAGCGGCTGTCGACGATGGGATTCGGCGACTGGAACCGGCGGGACTACCAGCAGTTTATCAACGGCTCGGCCAAGTTTGGACGCACCGACTACGAGAACATTGCCACCGAGGTCGACAGCAAGACAGGCAGCGAGGTCAAGCAGTACGCCAAGGTGTTTTGGCAGCGGTACAAGGAGATCAGCGACTATCCGCGGGCGATCAAGGTGATTGAGGACGGCGAGGAGAAGCTGCGCAAGATTGAGCACCAGCGCAAGATGCTGCGCAAGAAGATGCAGCAGTACCGCGTGCCGCTGCAGCAGCTGCGCATCAACTACTCGGTGTCGACGACGAACAAGAAGGTGTACACCGAGGAGGAGGACCGGTTCCTGCTGGTGCAGCTCGACAAGCACGGCGTCGACTCGGACGGCATCTACGAGAAGATTCGCGACGAGATTCGCGAGAGCCCCCTCTTCCGGTTCGACTGGTTCTTCCTGAGCCGCACGCCCAGCGAGCTGAGCCGCCGGTGCACGACGCTGCTGACGACAATCGTCAAGGAGTTTGACGACCTCAACACGGCCAAGAGCAACGGGCACGGCGGCCATGCCAACGGCAAGCCCAAGCGCGAGCCCGACGGGGATGAGGAGAACGACGAGGACAGTGTGCTGGGCGCGCCGCCCAAGAAGAAGTCCAAGAACGGCGTCAAGGTGAGTCGACACGCCATCCCCGCGTCCTGCTCTGAGGTGGGAAACCCAGAAACTCTGTACTAACGTGAAACGCAGAACAAACCCCTCGATAATGTCAAGGCCAAGAACGGCGGTAGCAAGGCCAGCTCGGCGTCGCCCTCGCGGGCTTCGAGCGTCGCGTCGTCCAAGAAGGGAAAGCCTCAGAGCAAGCAGGCGGCGGCAGCGGCGAGCTCCAAGAGCAAAGCCAAGGGCCGCAAGCGGTAGACGATAGACTCGAAGCCAGCAAAAAAAGAAGACAAGGCCGGCTGGCCTCTCATTTCCATTTTTGTTTTGATTTTTTATTTTCTTCGCGCTGTCTTTTTTCTATTTGGTGCGGTTTTTTGGCTGGCTGTTCCCTTTGCATTTCTCATCTAGAAAAAGAGAGGGCTCTTGTTATAGGACGGTCGGGGCCGGTGTTTATTTGTTTCCTGTTTGTTTCTTGTGCTTTATTACCATGTTATATCTATCACCTGTCATTTTCATTCTACATCTGCATTGTACAATGTGTCCCCTCGTGTCATCACTTTGCGTCAAGGAGTTGTTGTCGAAAGGTGTATGGAGTATTCAAAATGCATCGGGGGTTTATTGCAGAAGCAGCTGGGCTTCGCCCTGTTCATACTTTGCCGCACTGTTTTTGTCGCACCACCGCATCGTATAAAAGTCAGCACATGACAAGAGTACAGTCACGACAGGGCCTCGTTTTAGAGGGAGCACCTTGTAAACGGCCGGGCGAACACATGTGACCACCTTCGATTTTCCGCTTGGTTCTTTTCGTTATGTTCAGAGATGAACCATGAAACCCAAGCGTGACACTGTTTCCCTCGCAAGACTGGGCTACAACTAGGGCGTGATATTGAAAGATGGAATGGTATTGCAAATCCACAGGAGGGTACCCCAACTTTGTCACGGGAATGCTCTGTCTCGAGTCCGTGGTAACAATGCAGCATCCATTAACCGGAGATGCAGTTGTCGCATATGACGTACGATTACACCTCGTCACGAGCCATTCGACTGTTCTCCGTCTGTTGTGTAGCAACAGGACAGAAAACGGCCGGCATTCCTCTGGCACAAAATATGTGAGACCTGAAAATGTCCAGCGTTTTGTCCGTCTCAATTGAGATACACTTCATGCTCCACTCCACTGACTCTGCTAGCTTCGCCGGCTTGTCTTGGAGCGATGGTTCCTTGGACTGATCGGCAAGTCACCCACACCTTTTGTGTCCTCTGCGTTGTAGCGGCTGTGTCGAAGAGTGCAACCCAGTCGCGCATCTTGGATGTCAAAAGTAGCTCTCTAGCCGTCGTACAGCTGGGCCGCGCTAGCAGGGCGGATGACAGTGACAAGATGCCTGCTCGGCCTCCGTCGGACACTGGAATGCAGCCTCTCGGGCACTAGCAACAGCTTAACAAGTCGTATGGAGGAACGCATATCTGCCGCCGAGAGGTGCAGATACGTTGTGAAAATGCGACGTAATAGGAGTGTCGAACGTCGAAGTAAACATGGCATATATGTTCCTTCCGCTTCACTTTGTACGTTACTTCCTCGTTCTTTTGTTCCCCTGAAAACCCAATCTCACAGGGAAGGAACCAAAAAGGGAAAGGGCACGCCGCCACAGTCGCTTTCACTTTTATTTGTCCACCCAAAATTTAACATTATCTCAAATTGGCCAATCACCCAGGTCGCGATGGTGCCAGGGTAGCGCATTTGGCTCCTTGGGTGGTCCCGCAGAGCCAGAGAAAGGGGAAATAGCCAATGAAAGCCCCCTGGAACGCCAAAAATGCTGTTTGTGTTATGAGATCAAATCGACCACGCTAATACGAGGTTCAAGGGGTATTAGAGCTCCCCACAAAATGAGTAGTGGGACATGCCTGCCAGTCCCGTGCAAAAAGAAAAACACACGAGAGAAGGAAAGAGCACAGAGCATATCACCATCTTGCTTATGCACCTCCTTACGCCCACATGTTCTACTTGAAACAGACAGTCGGACTTTTTAGAAAGCTCATGGTGTACGGAGTACGACGTATTACGAGTAATGGGCCCGGCACACCGGGGAGACAGCGCACCAATGTCTTGCCCATCCCGACCAGGAAGAGTCGAGCGAAATATCACGAGGTCAAGGAGGTTTTACTTGCGCATGGTGGCTCCTGCCCTCCACTCCCAATAACCCGGCTGGGGAAAACACGAACCGTCCAGTCTACCCACCGAACCCCTGGCCGTTCTTTTCTATCTCTCTTATTGTCTCTTTCCCTGAATTTTGTTGGCACTGTTTTAGAAGGAAGGTACGGTGCAGCTCGTCAGGCCGTTGCTCAATCGCTGCCAGGCCACCGTCCTCCATGCCATTGCGCCGCCCAACGAGCATTGCTCGCTTAGAAACTTTGTGTAATGCCAGGTACCATACGCCGTACGTTGCTATTCCTGGATTTGCTGTGATATGTCGTAGTAGGTGTGCGCCTGTTGTGTTGCGACTGATTTGGTCTGGTGTGTGGTCTCTTGCTGCCCATCCAGCGCTCCTTCCCTTATGTTTACTGTACCGAATGTCCGTGGGTCGAAGCCCATAAACCTCTCCTTCCCTGCCAGCCAGCAGCTTATCGAGCTATCCTTATTTCTCCTCTTTTGTTTCCTCTTCTTCTCTTTTTTCTTTTCCCCTCTCTCTCTCTTTCTCTTCCACTGCTCTACTTTACCACAATTCATCTTCGTTTCACGATCATCGCGTCCTTCACTTGCCTTCTGTTCTTGTCACTCGTTTCGACCAAGTCGCCGTCTCTCGCTGTCTCAATACTTTCACCTCACGGCTTTCACCATTAATCTCCTACTTTAACGTAATACCCACCTCTCACAACGCCAAAATGCAGTTCCTCACCTTCGCCGCTCTCCTGGCCTCGGCCGTCTCCGTCTCGGCCGCCACCACCTCGGCCGCCGCTCCTGTCGGCACGTCCACCTCGTCTTGCGCCGCCCAGAACATCCTGGACGCCTGCTTGCAGACCGAGACCGACCTGTTCAACTCCTGCGGCACCAACGACTGGAACTGCAAGTGCAATGCCTACGGTGCAATTGTGACGTGAGTTCCCCCTCCCCGCACTCCTCTCCCTCAACCTTGCAACTCCGACTGTTTCTAGACTACAAACTCGCGTAACACACCGCTAACCGTTCTTTAGCTGCTACAACAACTGCCCCAGCGACCAGACCGTCGTCACCGCCAAGGGCCAGCAGCAGATCTTCTGCGGCTACGCCAGCCAGTACCCTTCGGCGACGCCCACCGGCGCCAAGAAGACGGGCACCGCCACCACGAGCGCCACCAAGGCTACCGGCACCAAAGCCGCCGCCAGTGCCGGTTCCAGCACTGACTCTGGCTCCGGTGCGTCGGGCAGCGCTTCCTCGGGCACTGCTTCCGGCACTGCTAAGCCCCCCGCTGAGACCCACTCGGGTGCCGACCTGGCAATCAAGTCGGGCAGCATGCTGTTCGCCGTGGCCGGTATGGCCGCTGCTCTCCTGTAAGGGAGGTGAAGCGAACACCTTTGAAATAAGACAAGAAAACAGCGACAAACAGCTTGCATTCTTGTTCTTTTTGATCGTTTCCCCGACCAAAATAATCCGCCCACTCCCTTCTTCGTTGAGGTTTCGTTACGGGAGCTCGGCCATATTTTTTGATATATTTCTTTCACGCCTTCTTCGTTTACTGTTCACTTCCGTTATATTTTAAAACTCACAATATAATCTCTAATTTTTGGGTCGCGGGATCAGGAAAGCCATGGTGACTCCATATATGAACGCAGTGACAGCATGTTTGATGTAACATATTTTCAATTTATAAATTGACATATTAATGTGAGGCAACATCTAGGCACAGAGAGAACTAGAAATCACCTACACAACCTATCCCATCACCGCGCCTATAGACGCCTTAGCACACTCTCCACAACATCCGTCTTTCTCCTTGGCCCCATCACCGACCTGCCAAGGTGTTGTGCAAAGGGTCCCCGTGGTTTCGGGCAAAGGGCAGAAGTTATATTCGGTGCACACAAAGCCGACTCCGCATTCCGACATTCACACGTGGACGCAAGGCATGGACAAATTTAAGACGTATTTGTATGGATGTTATGTTCAGATTCAAGTATGTACAGTTCGGTAGTAAAACATCTGCCCTGCAACGTAAAAGATAAATCGCAGACAGAAACACCGCTCTCGTCGCCCATCAACGAGGCTCGCCGTCTCGACAAAGGCTCTCGTTCGGCCTTGCACGCGGAGTGAACCGGCGCCTTCTTTCAGGCCTTCGGCATAACCAAAAAAGCTCCGGTATCGGGATCCGTACACGGTGCAGTCGCTTTCTCCTCATTTAAACAGAGAACAAAAGCACGCGGGAGACAAAAAAAAGTACATAATATCGAGGAAAAGACAGCGCGGAAAGAAGACAACGGAGAAAAAAAGGATACGTACGAAAACCGCAAACCCGAACCCGCCATCCCATGCGCTTGAAACCACAGACCCGAGAGATAACCGGAACCAATAAAACTAAATAGAAGACGAAAACAGAGAAAAGAGACCGCCGCCTTGCGTCACCGCGAGCAAGACGGTAAAAAATCAACCCATTTGTTTATCACTCTAATTTGATTGTAGCAGGGAGGAGGAAATTTGAAGGAAAAGGGGAAGAAAGGGTCATTGACACATAAAAGCCATATGTGCAGCAAGCGCGGTATAAAACAAAAAAAGCAAGCTGGTATTAAAAGCGTAGAAATGGAAAGCAAAGAGGGGTACAAGAAGGAAGAACGTGTGGTTGAGTGGGTGTGGGTGGGTGTGTAGGTGTGATGAGCAGGTGCTGTGGCAATAGACAGTCTAGTTACGTCTGCCCTTGCTGGACCCTTTCACGGGGCTCACAAAGGTGACATGTTTGGGGTCATCCTTCTTCAGCTTGACGCTGCCGCTGTGGCGGCGTAGAGGCCGAGGCGTGTTGTGCACGTGGTCTTCGTCCTCGTCGGTGTTGATCTCAGGTACTTCGGAGACGGAATCCATGTCGGTGTCAGAGGTCTCCGAAGCAGAACCATCGTCCGAGTCATCGTACTCGCCATCATCGCTGACAAGCGAAGGCGCGATGTTGCTAGCCGAATGGATAGGGCTGAGGTCGACATCCATCGCATCGCCGACCACACCCACCGCGACATAGTCGACGATCTGCCCACTGTACGGAATGTGGGCTGGGGTGGATGCGCCCTTGCTGCTGCTGGGCCGCGAAGCCACGGCACTCTTAGAGGCAGCCGATTGCGTCGGCCGCACGGGGGCACGCTTCACTGTCGACGGGTTTGGCGTTTCGGTATTCGGAGTGTTCAGGTCGAACTCGTCGTCTTCATCGGCGTACCAAGCCATGTCGTCAATGTCGGTGACCTCTTTCGCATCTTCCACCGACGCATCAAGGTTTCCTCCGAACTCCTTCTTTTCCAAGAAACGAGAAAGGAACGGCGTCTTATCCGAACCAACAAACGCAGCTGTAGCAGCCTTTGCCTTCTTGTTCTTCACCTGATTGCGGGCACCCGAGGCGGCCGTGGCAGTAGAGCACGACGCGTAGGACGAGTGAATGCGGTCCAGCACGGAGTTAGTAGCGTTGCTATCAGCGCGCGCCAGAGAATAAACATGACCGGGGAGAGCAGTGCTGCCAGGTGTGCCTAACACACCGGGGTTGACGGGAGTCGCAAAAGCGGACGCAGAGCAAGACGTAGAAGACGCGGACGCGATGGCTGAGGCAGCCGGCATAGCGATGCTCGCAGGGGCACCACTCTTGGGAGCAGCGGCGGCCGCAGTAGCATCGTTCTTTTTGGCCGACGCTGCCGCAGGAGATGCGCCGGAATCGACTTCGATGGGATGACCACAGTGAATGGCAGCCTCGTCATGGCTCTTGTAGTCGCGCTTGTGAGCGATACGGCAGTGGTTGATGAAGCCCTGTGTGCTAGAAAAGTTGTCACGGTGACAGTCGGTGCAGACCAGCTTCACGACTTTGCCATCAGAGCGCTTCAAAATGCAAGGGCCAGCCTTGTCCTTGGGCTGAGGGTAGCCACTAGACAGCGAGTGCAGTCTCTGACCAGAAACACCACGTGAGGCGCGCGCCTTGCTGGAGTCGGAGACGCTGTTCCTCGTCGGCCGCGCATCGGCGGTTGCACCGCCCTTGGAGGACCGAGCATGTGGTGCAAGGCCAGGCCAGTTGGGGAGCGGCCCATCAAAGACAGGGTCGGGAATGAGCCACTTGGCGTAATGACGCGCATACGGACCGTCGACAACACCGAACGGCGATGACCACTTCGGAACAGTAGCACCCGGCCTGGGACGCACAGCGGTACCACGACCGCTGGCAATGTCCAGCATTTGCGCGGGTGTCGGGCAATCCGTCGGGTAGGGGATAAGGTGGCATCTGCGCAACTGCTCGAGCGCAATCTGGCACTTGGCCATCTCTTGCTCGATGAGGCGCAGCTCATTGTGCTTGATCAAAATCTCCTGCGAAAACTGGAACTGCACGACATCCTTCACTGCCTCGATGTTGGCACCATCTCGTGTGGCCAGTGACACAGACAACGGAGGGGAGGGTGGTGAGGTCAGACGGTCTTGGGTGGTTGCGCTGTCCTGGGCCCCATACGTAGCTCGCTGCCAAGCAGCCTCACCACACTCGGTCTTTACGCGCTTCGTCGAAGAGAACAGCGCCTGCTGGTCGGCCGGGGGGTCGAACTCCATCGAGGGAGAGGGCGGCAGCATGGACTCGGCGTCCGATGCGCGCTTGCGTTTTGTCAGCGGCGCCGGCCGCCCCGGCGCGCCAGCAGCGGTAGCTGCGGACATCTCAGAAGCGTCATACGCGTTATATACAGCGCCGAAATAGTCTTCAGATGGTGGTGATACTGCCTCGGTAGTACTGTCGCATCCCCTTGGTTCAGACGACCAGAAACGAAACATCACCAAGGTGGTAGGGGAGAGGCGCGCCGCGCGAGAAAGGAGTGTCGATCGCCCGGCGAGGGTGGGTGATTAAAAAAATATATAAATGAAAAAAGGTCCAAAGACAAGAGAGAAAGAAAGACGGTCCAGTAAGAGTCAAAAAAAAGAAAGGCGCAAGGTCTTGTGTGTTGCGGTCGAGGCGGAAAGGACTGCTGACTGGTTGTCGAACTGAGTAGCCTTGGAACGTCGCAAGGCAGCCGCGTGGTGAGACAAGAACGCTGCGGCAAAGGTGTGAGAAGGAGAAAGGCAAGAAACGAGAAGCGTGACAGCAAGCGAAGGAGACCGAATCAAATAGGGTGGGGCGAATTGGCACCAAATAGCGTGTGATTGGCTGGCGATTGGGCGAAGGCAAGCTGACGTAACCGAGCAGGACGGACAAAGCGGGCCTATCGTATTTTGCAGACTGGAGCCTGGTTCGTTGCGGGAGAAGGAGTACCAGGGGGGGTGTGCGTTAGTGTGAGTGGAGAGTGGGTCAACTAGGACTTTTGGCTGTGCCGTGAGAACAGGGAGACTAGCAGGAGAAGGACAGAGCAAGGAATAAGGGGCAATAGCAGGCGGAACAGCGGGGGGAAGGCGCTGAGTGGTGTGCAATGCTGCTGGGCGTGGATGATGTGGCCGCTTCAGACCCAACGGAAACTGGGCACCAGCACAGCCTGGAATGCGCGGGAAGGTGCAACACTGCCAAAACTGGGCGGAAAGTGCGAACGAAGGACGGAGCCAGCACTGCAAAAAGGGGGAGATCGTGAGGGAGAAAGGAGGAAAAGTGAGCGGGAAAAGAGAGGAAAATGAGAAAAGCGACGAGGAAAGCGATCGTAACAGGCCCAAAAGCGAGATTTTGGTTGCTGAAGGCAAGGGAAAGTCGAAGCGCGAGCACTAGCAAAAGCCTCTGCGCAAAGTAAAGTCAGGAGAAGACAAGAAGTGTCGAGAAAGAGTCTGCAAAACGAAAATTTGCAGCTCTCGTCGAAGAAAAAAGCGTTGTTGTTTGTGTTGTCGCGGAAGACAATTCTGCGACGTCTGGAGATGGCGAGAAAAAGGAAGAAAAGGAAGAAAAACAGGACGTGAGAGCAAATGTGAGATAAAGGAGAAAGGGGGCGTTGTGTGGTGGGTGTGGGCGCTGGACGGTGGTGTTTTTGTTGTGTTCTAGGCGAGAAGGAGATGGAAACAGGCGGGACGGATTGCGAAATGAAAAGGAAGCAAGGAAACAAGGAGGCAGACAGAAGGGGTAACTGCGTTGGCGTTTGTAGCGCATGTGGCCTAGAGTTGAGGAGACTGTAACCCCAAGGCGACCAGTTCATGCGCCGTTTCCACGCCGATTTCCACTTGATGCCTGGGGGTCAGTGGAAGGAGCAAACCAAAAGCGCACGAATCCTGTTACGGTACTCCGTAGTGGGCAGGAGCCGGCGGCGAAATTCTAGGCAAAGGCAGGAGCAGCAACAGGGTGGTTTGGGACCAAACACCAGACTGGACGAGACAAGAAAGAACGGCGAAGACGACGCTGGGAGCAACAGGGCAGGACGTAAGGGGAGCGAGCGCTCAGAGTGGGAGCAACTGGGGAGGTGTGGGTCTAGCCAAGGGCGTCCCAAACACAACGCTAGGGAAGCTGTATTGGTGTGGGCCAGGCTTGGCCAGCGAGATACGAGAGACGAGGACAAGACACGGGGGGGAGAATGAGTGATATCGGTTTGTCTCATTACGCTTGCGGAATGGACAAACGAGAGAAGGATGGGCATATTTTGCGACGTAAGATGCAGTATCTCGCACTTGTGCGCATCCATTTGAACACGTTACGAGAGCATGAAAAAGCGTTCGTCATGAGTTATGTTTCTCCAAACATTGCAATACGCAAGGCCCCCAAGAATGACAGCATCCACTGCGACGGTCTTGAGATATGAAGATGGATCGGCAAGTCGCTGCCATGTGCACGTACTGGTACATCATAATGAGCGTCAAATACTGCAGTTTGGCAGCCCCATACGTACCTTCTACATTCGACTTGACGGTGCTGAGTAGCTTGTGGGCATAGTGCACTACTAGCGCATTATGCTCTGCTTCAGCACACTGCGCGCTAACCGACCACGCAAATCCCGCCCAAATGGAATCATCGACACATGCAAGCCTAAGCCTGGGAAGCTTGAGAGATGAGTCCAATATTGATTATGTCGTAACACCGAGGAGAGAAACACCCTTTGTTTTTTCTTGCTTCTTTGGAGGTCGCTGTTTTGTTTGTTGCTTTTGTTCCGTTTGTTCCGTAGCGGCCGTTCGCGTTATCGCGCCACGTCTTGCAATCTATTTCGTGCTGTAGTTTCCTTGCTGTTTAGCTCATTTAATTCCTTTTGTTTGCCCTTCTGCACGGCAGCAGGCCGTGTCTGCCCTGTGCCACTGTTTGATTGCAGCGAATCCACTGGGTGGGTATTCATGGGCTATTGCAGCTCCTTCCGCCCCAGTTTCAGCCTGGGTTAGCCGGGGTTTGCTCGCTAACAGAATACAGCCAGAGTGCTCATCTGCCCTCACCTTCCGGGCAAGGACTGCGTGTTCCCCGGTACCTCGCTATCTGCCGACCCCTGCCCAATAAACAGCAGGCATGGGTCCGAGGGTCGCTTTCTATTTGTGTTTGAGTTTGATGTTTCCTGACCTCTTTGGCCCCCTTCCTTCCTTGCAGTCACACAACAGCGGCCTGCAGCGAGGATTGGCGTCTAGAGGAGGAAGGAGCAAATAAAGAGTGTGCATGCGAATCGAATTTCTTCATGGAGCAAACGACGACAGACATTGGAGAGACGACCTCGACAAAATATACACATGCCCGATGCACGTGCCACGCTTGCTCGATCTCGAGCTGTCCATGATTCCACAGTGCAAGCCTCCACGCCATCACAACCGTCGAGCTAACATGAGAACTTGCATGGTGCTGACGATGCCCCAGCTTCATCTTGTCAAATATATGTCGTACTTCATTCACTGCGTATTTTATGGGCTTAAGCCACGAAGACGTAGAGAGGTGAGAGTCCTATCACACACTGGGTCTGGCCTCGCTGTATTGGCGTTCTGTTAGCTGGTCGAGTTGTACGCGGCGCAACGTCGGGTGCTGATACTCATGGCCGGCCTCACTGTTGAGCATCCCAGAGATAGCTGCTGCTGCGAAGTGATACAGTGAATGATAAGACCCCGTCCGAGAGCCACATAAAGGCGCAATACAAGGCGCTCTCGCCGTGAGTTTTGTTTGTTTGCAAGGCCAGAACGGCCGAGCTAAGCTCCGTTGGGCCGAAGGGGGTGCATGTACTGGATGTTGGCCCAGGGGCGTGCATATTCACCTGCCACTCATCCAAGGAACCAAAGAAACAAACGTCGTGGAATAAATACTCCAGTCAAATACATGCACGGCCGTTTTGCTTTCAAGAACGCACAGACCACCAGCAGATGCAGGAGAACAAAGCTCCAGAACACTACTTGGAGAAGGCGCGCTTGTGATTGGCTGCAGCTATTTGCTGCAACGGCAGGCACCGTTTTGTGGGGGAGTGCGAACATTGATTCTTACGATTTTTTTAGAGCCAGATTCGACCTCGTGCGGGACAACAACAACAAAGCATACGACGTGAAGACCCGACGTCACATCCATTGCCGCAGAGCGAAAGCAATCGGGTCATCCTGTCAGAAAATACGACTCGATAGAGTCGAGGCAGGCTCTTCCAATACGGGCATCACATTAAAACATACAGCCTCGAGGGGCTGCACTGACGCAGCCTTGTCCCGACCTCCTTGACAAACACATTTTACGTCCTGCCATTCAACGGCTCCGCAAAATCAGCAGCAGTATTGAACTTTGGCATCAACGACACACGGGAGCATCGAGTAATGGGGCCGAGCAAGAGACACGCAGCATCGGCGCCCTTCGGGCAGCAGCAGAACCAAAAAAAGCCGAAAACAGCACCTTCCAAGATCTTGAACACGCCCAGGGCAGCAAAGCCAACAACAAAGACAACTTCCAGCACGGTTATCCCGGCGACTCCAGGCGCAGCCGTAGACACAGGTTCGAAACGCAGCAGACAACAAACACCAACCAAAGAGCCCCAGTCAGAAAAACGGCAAAGAACGCCGCAGACAGCAGAGGCGGCACCCAAAGAGCGACCATCCAAACCACATTCGCAAAAGCAAGCGGCGCAACCCAGCACACTCCCCCTCGAGCCTCATGCCACCATATTGCGCGAGCTTGACCGCAAATACGATGTCCACACTCTCTCCGTCATCTCGTCATCGAAAATGGAGAAGCGCATCCAGGCAGTCCTCAACCACCTTGCAGATCGACCGATCGCTCATACCACAAAAGAACGAGGAGCATCGCCACCAACAACCCGGCCGGGCGTTGTGCTCCTACATAGCCGAGTCCTTGATTCCAACAAGCTCATCTCCATTGCCGAGATTGTCAAGCAGCGTGTGCGGGAAGGCTACTATTCTCGGGGAGCGGAAGGCGCGGGCGCTACGGCGGCGTCCAAGAAGCAGGGAAAGAAGGGTTCAAAACTTTCAAAGACGTCATGGTATCAATACAACCGGATCTACGATGTTGTGTCTGCACCCGGCGCAGCAGACACCACACCCGGCACGGGAGATGACGAGGATGACGACTTTGCACCTATGATGCACAGGTTCACAGAAGCCATGTCGGGAAAGAAAGCCTTGCAGGGGCGGGCAAATATCACAACCTACATGAGCATTGTCCTGTCACGGACTCCCATCGCGGAACTGCAGAAGAACCCAGAAATATCTGTCCAGGCCAGCACTGACCCTTTGGAGGTTGAGTTCGAGCAGTGGATGGCCAGGACTTAATCGCAGAGGGACGCGGGTAGTGACTATGGTGTTGACTCCAAAGTGACATATGGCAGGGTTGCGGGTGATCTTGGGAAAACATGCATGGCACGGAAATTGAGGTTATAGAGCAAGCTTATATTATGATACCCTGGATTTTCACGATTTAATTCTAGAAAGCTTTTATTATATTTTATTTCGTTTAATTTTGCTTTGTTTATTCTTCGATTCCAGGCTTATTTTTTTTATAATATAAAAAAAAGTCACCCAAAAAAAAACCCTTCACGCAGAAAAATAAACAAAAAAGACAATATTTGTTTCACCATCGGTATCATACGAAGCTTAATTCTACGAATTTCATTCGAGCATGAACAACTTGCGTGACTTGTTATAAAAGTAAAATACATGGTGTAAACAAATGCCAATCACGATTAACATAAGCCACGAAAGTACTCCGTACAGGGTCATCAATCTGTCCGTCGATCACAGTATCCTGCTGCTCACGTAAATCCAATCCCAAGTAACCAAAAAGTAAATGCTAGATATGCAATGCAGTCTGTATCGTCCATCCATTCCTGTTCGTCCCCAGTAGTTTGTGAATTACTGTGATTCTGCTCCTGTAAACATGTCACGCCCTCCTCGGATCCAGGAGTGACGTGCAGCTCCATCCTTTCACACTTGGATCCGTCACCCTGATGCAGGCGACGCGAAAGCCGAGCTCATGTTTGCATTTCAAGCCGAAGGAAAGAAATAGCCGCGACTACTTCCGGTGGACTTCTCTTCATCCGCTTCTTCCCACTACTGCATAACCGTTTTATGGGTTGCCGCCAGTCGAGGAGTAGACGATGCGCAGGACAAAGTTGACAACAATGGCCAGCACCAGGATGACGGCCAGGAACGTGGGACCAAAGCGGTCGTCGAAACCGGCCTGGCCGCGCCGCCGTATCGACTTGGCACGCCAGTGGTAGGTGAAGAGCGCATACAGCATGGTCACGAGGGCGACACCCGTAAACAAAAAGGCGGAAATGAACGCCGGACGGTCACCAAAGTTGAGCATGCCAATGGCGAGGGCGCCGAGGATGACGGTGAAGTTCATCCATGACAGGAACGTGCGCTCGTTGGCGAAGAATACCTTGGGTTCGACGCGCGTCGGGAGAGCGATACGCTTGCCTGAAGAGGGGCCACGAGAATCAGCCAGCGTGTTCCAGGGAGCAGGCGAAAGAGGGAGGCAGAAAGGAAGAGCTCTTTGATGGCTTACCTGGGGCAGTCTGGAGAAGAGGCTGGCTGGACATTGTGGCGGATGGCGCGAGAGGCGACGAGGAAGGCGAGTATCTCTGAAAAAGACGGTCGATGATAAAACAAGTACGAGAGAAGAATTGAGTCTTGCGAAGTCGGTTGTTCGGAAGCGAGGGCGACAAAGGGAAATGGGCGTCGAGATGCTAGGGACGAGGAGGGAATGGCGATCGTATCCAGAAGCGAAAAAAAAGCAACAGAGCGATCTGGTCTGCTTATCGCGGTCCGATAGCAGCTAGAGGGAGAAAAAAGTGTACAAAGTATAGTCGTGGAAAGAAGAAGCTGATTTGCCTGCAAGAGATGCCCGTGATGACGAAGAGAGGGCCACGGAAAGATCACAATCTTTGATGGAAACAAGAAAAGTGTACGAAGTAGAAGGACAAAAGACGAGGGAATTCGGCAACGGGACACTAGTTTCAATTGCAGAGCCTGGCGATGCGAGAAATATCCAGGTATTGCTATGGAGCTTGTACGGCGGGCAGAAGCTGCCGCAAAAGACCACCAAAGGAGGCCAGGCTTGAGCTGTGTGTTTGCACTGTGGGAGCTTACACGAGGATTCTTTGGGGGGTCCACGCAGCCCGGAGTGCACGTGGGCCATTTGATTGGCCAGGATTCACTGTAGCAACCGGAACCGGATATCACGTGCCCGCTCTCGAACCGTTTTTGCAGCCCTTGCCGTGCGCATGGAGAAACGGCCAATCAGAGCGTGGGTTCGACCTGTGCACCTACGACAAAATGATGCGTCCCTTGTCCTCTGGTCCTAAGTCGCAGGCAGAGCAAGGAAGGGAGCACCGGAACGGCAAGCACGATCTGATCCAAACACCGCGAATTGCAGGCCAAAGCGCTCTCTTTGGCATCCACAGTTCCCCTTTTATGTGTTATGTAAGATGGAAAGGTGTGCAAGCCGCCCCCACTGGCTGCAGCCTCGTCCTTCCCACCCAGTCTTCCGTTTGCTGCACGCAGGCGCCACACCCAGCGCCAGCCTTGCCCCTCCCAAGTGCTTTGGATACCAATCCCGCTCCTTCACCGCCTTTGGGCAGGCAAGCAATCACAACCCCTGTCTGTCTTTGCTGACCATTCCTTGCTGCACAGCACTTTTTGTTTATTTACTCTGCAGCATCAAACATAGGACATTTTCTCTCGATCACGACCTCCTAACACCGCCCTTTCCAGTCTCCATCTCCCACCCACCATACCCCAACCGCAAGTATGGCCGATGCCACGTCAAACGCGGTACGTTTGTTGTGGACGCGAGTCGTAGCTCTGTCTCAAGATCCTCGCAGCACCCCTCGGCCCCTTTATGCGTCTGCGCCTAGATGGGGCCAGCCTCGTTCCCCAAGTTTTCGTTTTGCTTAGATTTTGCCATTACCATTGTAACCTCGACTAACGCGTCTGATTTCCGTGTTTCCAGCCCATCAAGCCGACTCGACTTAAGCAGATCACCGAGGATGTAAGTGAGCGGCCACATTCGTTCCCCCTGCCTTGTCCGACAGCGCCTTGTTTGCAGTACGGACCCTGATGCGACGGCTGGCAGCGACGCGATACACTGCGAATGTCGTAGCTAGAGAAAGGCATCACATCATGCTAACCTGGCCCTCAACGACAGGCTTGCCAGAGCGCCATCGGCTCTGCCGAGTTCTACGAGCACGAGAAGACAGAGAGCTGGAACACGACCATCATTGTACGTTGAAGAACCGGACCCCCCCTCGGTTGGACCGTCGAGTGGCATTCGAACTAGCTAATGCTCTTCCGCCTTCCCCAGAACTCTATCCTCAAGGCCCTGATCAGCGAATCGGCGACCGGCACCAGCGGCGCCCCGGCTTTCAAGTTCGCCGTCAACAGCACGATCGTGCAACACCTCGTCCCGACATCCCAGCTTAACAAGTCGCGGGGGACTGACACGGCCGCCGGCACCGACGACAGCTCGACCCACGTCTCGGGCAGCAAGCCGGCTGCCACGGGCACGGACGGCAAGCCGCACGTCGGCCGCCGCGGCATGCACAGCGCCCAGGCTGCGTACTGGAACGAGAAGACGGACGGCATGTGGACGTACAAGTACGACGGCGGCGAGGGCAAGGGCTTTGACATTATTGTCATGGTCCTGTGGATCGCTTACGACTCGGGCAACCGGGCGTAAAGAATCGCTGACAGGCTGGGAGGCCAAGAGGGGGTGTTGGCAGAGAGAAGGACAGAACGACGAAGGGAATGATCTATTCATGGAACGGGCCAATTCAATTTTTCTGTTGAAGTCTCAACAGCAGACATTTTTACGGGCAGGATATGCATCTTTCATTTATGATTTACCGTGTTGAATACACAACCACGTGGACAATTGGGCGTAGAGTTGTGGACAGGCCGCAGAGGAGACATGGACTCATAAGAAGCATAGATGGGAGACTACCGCGAGATGTTCAATGCCGTGTTGGCTTCCTCCGCTTGAGACGCTCGGTTGCTGGTTGTTGGTACACTCCGAACCCTTACTGGCCAGTTCCGTTGCCGGCTGGTGCTGCGCGGGTGATTAGATGATCACGGTTGTGTTGATCTGGCTGCCTGGGAATGCCATAAGGGCCGACGAGTTTTTATGTGAGAGTGGCGTGCATCGAAAGCTGACCACGACTAACGTGCATCCCGATTTCTTTTCGACCCCCTCACCTGATCAACGTCTCGTGGGCCCTGTACTAATCCACCAGACCCATTGTTTACATCATAGGCTGAGGGCGTGATTCTGTCCAACTTTCGGCGACAAGAAGGATCTGGAAGATGGAAGAGTTGGTTATGTTTGGCGAGCCCAGGCGAGTACTTTGTAGCTTTCTTTTCTGGACCTGATTCTCACTTCTAAGGGCTAAACTAAAATCCATTCTAATTATTGGCCAACGTCTTGTATGCCATTGCAGTCCAACGCCAATTGAAAGTCACGCGACGTGTTGTGCAAACGGTCTGGATTCAGTGTTGCAAGACAAGTTAGTATTCGGTCTAGACACGAGATGAGATGAACGTTGTAATTGAGCCTCGCTTTACATATACGGGAGCCAAATTCATATGGAGGTGTGCACTCAAGAGACAACGTCAGACTATGCGAGATGCTGCATACAAAAATGGATACAGCTTCCTTGTTTGGCTGTCGCCTATGGGTCGCCCCAAAACCGGGAACGACCTGCATGACACAATGGCACGAGGTACGACGCAGAAAGGGAAAGAAAGACCAAAGTGGAGCGCCTATGACGGCACCGACGGCAGGCGCGCCCACTCCCCCAGACCACACTCTTCACCACTGAGAAAGGGACCACGGCAGCACGGTTCGCACTTGCCGTGTTGCATTCGGAGGAGCCTAGACTGCAAGACTCACTAATTCGTACTTGGTCTGGCCCGACCTATTCGGCATTCGACCACCAAGAGGGAAAGTACAACCCTGCCGCAAAGAATCATGAGATACGTTGGATGCGAAAACGAAAACTTCTCACGGTACAAATTCTCTTCGTAACCAGAACCCGGACACAGCGCAAATAGGATTAAAGCCTGCCGAAAGGCTGAAAGGCCCAGAGGCGAAAATGGCCACGGCAAAGGGACTTTGGGGGGCGAATACACAGGTCGCTCACGCCAGCGGCCACCGTTCTTAGACCTAGCGGGACGTGGTCCGCAGCCGGCGACACATGGCGTGAAATACAGTTAGTAGGCCAGTTTCGCACTGAGGACAGTCCCTGGGTGGCCAAGAATAGACCCTTATTTGT